CAAAGGAGAGGACGAGGACGAGGAGAGAACGAGAAGGAAGAGACACAAAGTTATGAAGATTTTGATTTTTTTGAAGAACCACACAGGGAGGATGGAATGTTTGATTTGGTTTTTGCACCGGATGACATAGCAGAAGGACTGAGGACGAAGAAGAGGAGGATGAGGTTCCGTGGTGGGAGAAGTCCACCACGGACGACGAGTCTGAAGACAGCGGTGAGTGAGCAACAGAGGGTCTTTTTTTTTTTAAATTCGCTTTTATCAATTTTTTGTCTGCTTCTCTTTCTTCAAGACTAACTAGAGTCAAGAGTTTAGAGCTATTCACCAACTCTTAGTTAACGACTTAAACTTTTGGTTGAAAGTAGTCTTGACATGATATCTAGATCTCCATGATCAAGTATTCGGTAATTCAGGGGGTGTTTAAATGAAACCAAATCATAGTTTAGAGAATAGATTTTGGGAAGAATAGATTCTGTGAATAGATTTTGACAAAAGTGATTTTGATAAAGTGAGAATATTTGAATAATTGTTATCAGAATCTTTTTTTATATACAAATTATTAAAAGGACATAAGTTAATATGATAACTAGATAAATGATAGATTTTAATTTATATTTTTTTGAATGAAATAATAAATTTGTGAAAATAAAATTAATATTATCTCCGGTCCTTAGTATAAGAGCTAATTGGTATTCCATTTGATTTTGAATATAAGATATCAATCAATCTTGTCTCATATATTTATTCATTTTTTTAAAAGTAGTTCTCATGTTAATTTGCACATATTAAATGTTACATTAATAATAATCCCAATGCACATCGTTAATAAGTGTTTTAGAGAATGCAACATCTATTTATTATAAATAAATAATTTAACTAATTTTCTTAATATTTACAAATTAGTTTTCTAACTCTTACATTAAAGATCAAAGATAGTAATTGATATGTGTATATATATTTATATCCCAAACTATGGTTTTATACCTTCAAAAGCAAAAAAAAATTCACTTTATGAAATACCATGATTTTATACCCAAAACCATGGTTTCCAAATGAAAAGTGATTTTGAAAAAAATTATAGTGTTTGATTACTTTTATACAAATCATAGTTTCAAATTGAAAAATGATTTTGAAAAAATATATAGTGTTTGGATATTTTTTTCTTCAAACCATGGTTCTCTCTTCAAAACCATAGTTTGAAGTAAAACCCAAACACCCTCAATTACAATTAAACTTAGTTTTTAACACAAGGCATGACAAGTCATGCTTTATATACACTATTAATAAACCCAAAAAAATACTACAACAAACTAAACTTTAAAATTTCTTAATGTCTAAATTAATTGGAGCACTCACACTGACATTGATATACGCACATAATAAATGAACACCAACTAGATCCCCAACGAATAATTTAAATACAAATAACACATCTGCACTAACACCAACAAATGACACATATGTAGTTATGTACTCACATTTGAACAGTCAAAGAACGTGTTCACCAGAAAAAATAAAACACTAACAATTCAACATTCTTGGTTTTCTTATGAGATCTGAGGATTTCAGTATCAGAAACAGCCACGGATTTTCTTTGGAGCAGTTCCAGTGGCCGCCCTGTATTTGCGGTTGCTTCCTCTGCCTTGAGAAGATCTTCCCCTTTCTTGGCATCAATAATTGCCCTCTTCTCTTCAGAGTTCAGCCTCCTTGTGGATGATAGCGATTTATTTTCATTTTCTCCACATATTCAGCCTTCTTCCTTTCAAGTTGTTCCTAACTCGCATACAAATTAGAAACACAAGAAGAATTAGTAGGAGGTCAAATATATTAGAAAAAGGTTAAAAGGAAAGTATGTAAAGAACAATTTGATTAATTTAAATTCCAGTCTGTCACAACTGATTTTCTATTTCTTTTATTTTCAAGTATTTTTTTCATTCGTTTTCTCATTTCAATTTTTATTTGGAACCCAAAATAAATAAAAAAACAGATTGGTTATAGAACAACTGAATGATTACAGAAGTATGAGCACTTGGTTGTAGCAGAAGTTATAGTGACCTAGATTTAAATCAATGGACAGATATTTTAACAGCACTCATAAAGCACTTCGGGGAATTACTAATGAAAAGGAATGATTGATCTTACTTCAGTTTTTTTTTAACTCAGCGTCAATGGCTGCTTTCTTACTGTTTCTCCGTGATGAAATAGCTGATAACTTCTTGTGCGCTCCCGTGATCAAAAGATCTATTCAAATTAATATCCATGAAACCTTGTCGAATGAATATGAAAGAAACAAACATCTAGTGTAATAATGCAAAACTAGTCTCTTACTTGTCCTCTGCTTTTGATTTTTCACTTTCTTCCCATGCTTTGACCAATGAAAGCCTCTTCTCTGTTGCAACTCTAGCCAGCACTGCATCTGTATATGCAAAAACTTGTTTAACCTCTAATTTAGGGGTATAAAAATGCATGAAGGGAAATAAAACAGTCGAGATACCTTGATTTGCAGAGCCTTCAGATGATTTCTCAGTAGAAGCTTCTTGAGGCTCCGAATAAACAACAATAATCACAATGATGTTATTATATCATGGTGACGGCTCAATCATGCAAAATACATATGTTTTGATACACTGGCTCAGAAGCTCTCTTTTTTTAATTTCTTTTGGGTATGATTCCAGATACTTGAGGGCTCTACAGATTTATCAACCAGTCCTCATTACAGAGTGTTCGTAGGCTTTAGAGAACTTGATAATTTAGTTATTCTCACTAAATCCTCGAAATTGTCCATATTTTTCATCACGATGTCGTTACCAAATAACTAAGATCAGGTTGAGCACAGACACAGAAATTAAAGGATGAACTGTAAGAAGCAGCACCATTTAGAAAATGTTGATAGCTATAAGATGAAGGTACAAATGAATCATATAATCACAGTCGTCTTGCTTTCACAAGTCCCAAACGTCTCCTCCTAAGACAAGCACGTGTTTTTCAACGGAGTGACAATAGGCAAATCCTAGCCATGATAAACTGACAAGAGAAGAAAGAAATGAATAAAAGTTTGAAGTATACGTTATAGAAAGAATTGATGACTTGAAAGTCCCAGATAGATGAAAAGCCCTTCAGAAACTCTACTGGACAGGAATAATTCAGTTGACAAAAACAGCAGAGATCACTATGAATTAAACTCGAGAAATTCATTATCAGAAGGCCTTGAAGAACAGAAAGAGAAAAACTTAAACAATTCAGTTTCTATATTTATGAGAAATGAAAAGCGGTGTTCAAATAAGGACTCGTCCCCTGAACCAACCATAAAATAAAGAGAGTAACCACGGAACACAAACACATACACAGACCTTTTGAGTCAGTTTTTCAGAGGAAACAAACAGATATACAAGAAAAGTGAGAAAGAGAGGGGAGTTGGGTATGTACTTTCAACAATAGCAAGAGTCTTAAGGTCATCAGAAGGAGGTGCCGGAGTTACACATTTCTCCTTAGTTACATCTTTCCTCATGAGGTGGTGGTGGTGGTGGTTGTGGTGGGGGAGGCTCCTCATGAGGCGGCAGCGGCGGAGGTTCCGATGGGGATTCGGCGTCCAGCTTTTTGGGGTGCTCCTCTGTCATACTTCTGCTCTCCTTCTTTTGAGTTGAGTTGTGATTCCTCACAGAAAAGTTGGTGATGATGATGACGATGAGGATTCGAAACAAAAGGGTGTGACGGAGCTTTCACTTATTGCGGAAATATCAGAAATTGATGAGAGAGAGAGAGAGAGAGAGACGAAGAAAGGAGGAAGAGGAGAGAGAAAGGTGGTTAAGATATTATGGTTGGAGGAATAAGGCAACTGGTTGAGCTCCATCAGCTCTCTGTACTGTTCCAAAGGCGCTTAGCTGGATGTTTGATACAGGTGGCCACCCTCTCCACTAGTTTGCCTCAATCATCCAATTTTCTTCTTTCATTTTTTTTACGAGTACATATAAGAATTCTTCCAAAATATGGACACTCCCCTCTTTTGTCTCCTGCCAAATGCCATGCTATTTTGTATTTTTAAAATCTTGGCCTGTTCCCATTTTTCACAATTTCTTGTTTGTATGATGGGAGTAAAATTTGACGGTGAAAATCGAACTTCAAATTATATTTATTCATTTGCTTTAGCAACAAATATATTATTTGTTTCCTTCCTAATTTCTTATACTATATTTTTAAAGATTTACTTTTACTGTGTATCATTTTATGGTATCATTAATGATTTACTTCATAATTTCTATAACTCAGTGTTATTCATATATAATCTTGCTCAATAAACAATTGCAATAACTACAATAACTGAAGTTGATATTTGAAAGGGGAAAAAATGGCCAAAAAAATGTTACCCCTGCTCTCATTTATAAATCATTTCTACAAGTTTGTTCACATTTTACAAGTCATTCTGTAAATCCTACGTACCTGTTAGTAGTTTTTCTCAATAATGCCCTTGGTACGGATATCATTGAGTAGTTATGGGGGTGAAGAATTAAGAATACCTATCTTTTTTCTTCTTAATTAAATTATTTAATTTTATTGTTTTAGCTACATTAGCTCTTGTAATTTTGCTTTATTAACATTAGTAGTCTTTGTGCACAGATTAACAATGTTAATAGAGCAATATTAAAAGTTTAATTAAGAGAAAAATACACTTAGCTACAAAATTAAAAATTGAGAAAAAATATAAATACCTCTAAAATGATTTTTCCTTTTTAATACAGTCAATTCTGACTAATTTTCTTGGTTTTTTTTATATATTAGTTAAATGGGATTTATGAATATGAGTAGAGTGAGTAAAAAGTTGTCCTTTTAGCACTTCTGCTCCCTCAATGACTTTACCTGGCTTTGCAGGCACTTTTAATTTGAAGATTGTGATGACTGAGCTGAGCATATTATTGTCATCCATCAGCTCCAAAGGAGAGGAAAACCCCAAATGATTATGGCGAGATCTCATAAAGTCAAATACTTTAAATGATACAAGCCCGGTGAGAAAGGTAATCACTTTAGATCAACTATGGTAAAGTGAAAATGCTCCAAGAGAGAGGATCAGAAGACGGCCTTCACTATATCTCAAAATTTTGAAAGGAAATTACATAAGCAACCCCCCACCACCAACACAGAAAAATGTGAACAACCACCACTAGTATGCATTTTAAAGTACTTTACAGTCCCCAATACATACACAACATAAACCCCAAAAGGTTGAAATCCCAGTGTTGATTTGTTACTTAATAAGTAAAGAGCACATCGTGGACCAGCTCTTGAGCCTCTAGGTCTCTGCAAAGTCAGAAATCATTAGATCGGCATAATACATATGGGACAAAGACATAATGAAATTATGCAAGCTTTGTAGAATCATACATGCACAAGGCTTACAAACAAGAAGGTGCATATGCGCACGAAAAATGGCTCAGGTCATATGTCGAAAACCAAATTCTGGAATGAGGACAAAATGGTGAGATAGTTATGCGCTAGAATTTGTAGGTGGGTCATCTTTATATCCCTTGGTGAGAAGATCGTAGTTGATAGACGCAAGCTGGGAGAGATTCTGAAAGCCAAATGGAGACATTAGCACATGATGAAGTTTTATCAAGGATAATTTAACTTGGCATAAATCATAAGCAATGAAATTTTGACATGCTAGAAAAGGAGAGGGAACAAATCTTGAGCTGTCCAATTCAAGATAAATAAAGGTTAGAGCAGCCATTTTACGAAGCCGTCACATGCTGTTTGTCATTCTGATGAAAAAGAATACAGGCATACCAGATAATGCATCATCCATATGATAGTTAATTCTACTTGTTTGTCGCAACAATAAATAAAATTAGAATATAAGAAAAGTGATGTGAGATACCTTAAAGGAGAAATTGCTGAAAGAGTAATTGACAGATAAGCCTGACTCAAACTCGGCGAAACCCCCACATTCATCCCCCTGCTTAAAGATGTTCCCAAAAGCAAGTCAGCACAAAATAAATGAATTCAACAGCAACATATTTAGGAATGCCCATAAATGCAGTACCAGTTCATCTTGACGATTGCTCACACAACTACTGCTGCCACTTAAACTGTCTGCATCACTAGAATCCTCAATATCACTTGCTGGATACACAAGGCCATCAGGAGTACTCCATGAATAGCGACTTGTGAAATAACTGGTATCTAGAGCACTCTCAGAGGCAGGGACAAATGCAGCCTGCAAAAATTAAGAGTCTTCTGATGCATCTACCAGGACATGAGTTGACATAAGGTGCTCGCTATACGAATTACATCCATGGCTCAGGGAAAATAGTTCTCACCTTCTGCCTGGCAAGTGTGTCCCAGTTTATATCCTTGAAGAAAACATGTTGCTTTACCTGAATCATTAAGCTTTTATTGCTCAGGCTTTGTAGCCGTGACAAAAAGCAGAAATGTCCGAAAAATGTAAACAAGCATCCATAAGGTAATATAAAAACTCTAGTATCACCTCTGATGCCCCTCCAGCTCCAAGTCTCTGACTAGGATCTTCAGTTAACAATCTGAAAATTGAACATCTTAAGTCATTAATCAAAGAAAAATCTATCTTTACTAATTATGTGACTGATCAATCAAGAAGAATGTCCTTAAAGCAAATTATGAAGCCCGTTGTCAGTGATGGGCTTTCCACATGGTATATAACACGAACCTTGAAATTCATGGAAAGACTTTTAGAGCAGAATTTCTAGCTAGCTCTAAACTAAAAGAAGTTATATTGAGTAAGGCAACAACTGTGATCAAGTTCCGCCATGTGACAGAAGTGGATTCACGAGGAATAATTATCATTGGCTTTCTTAAACATCAGAATGCATTGGAATTTCAAGCTTAGAAGTTCTCCCATACAGAATATGTCAGAAAAAGATTTGCATGATCAAGCAGCAGGAATTACGCAGATATTGTTGAAAAAAGAGACAAGTAACTAATATTCTGAAATTAGGGGGTGCCAAAGCAGCAAAAACAAAGACTTCCCAAGCCCTATAGGAAGAAGATTGAAGTAAGAACAGAACATATTCAATTACCGATCAATAAGGTCTTGTGCTTCAGAACTCATTTCTTCGGGAACATGGGGCCAAGGGATCTTGCGATTAAGAATGTTATCAAATATGGTCTACAATAGAAACAACCACATCTATCAGTGAGTGCTCAGCTAGCATTTTGGCGCTAATAGCAATAAGATAGTAAAGTGACTAAAGGATAGATAACAACAATCTTACGGAGGATCACAAGTCATCTTTCTCTCCTATAATCAGAAAATATTATACTAAATATCTATATTAAGAAGACATATATCCCTACCAAAAACAAAAGAAGACATATATTAGTTGCCCAAACCACAGATTTAGTGAATTTATTTGAAAATAACAGTTCAAGGTACTTAGAATATATGATTTATCGGAGATCTTGTTGCATTCTTTTTCCCAAGGAGCAACATGAAAGGATATTGATTAATTTGATACACTATGATGTTAATATAACACATGCCAAGAATATGTGTACCTAGATAGAGAAGCAGAAAGAAAATAAAGACAACAAACATTAATTTCGTTGCGGTAAGACATAAAGTTTCGGTCAGTAGGGCTCCCAGAGCTCACTAGGATACCTTTAAGCTCAAAAAGCGCTTACAAAGGAATTTACAAATTGCCCACCAACAAACATCAATTTTGAACTAGACGTAAAAGACCATTAACAGACATGTAGCATAACAAATTGGGGTAAAAACCTGAGGATGCTCTGCATTGAAAGGCGGAATTCCAACAAGCAGTTCAAATAAAATGATACCAACAGACCACCAATCCGCAGTATATCCTGCAAATTAGTACTAAAGGTTGTTATAGTCATGTTTGTAATCACAAGTACGCAAAGAAAAGTACATCACTAGCTTCACACCAATATATATATTTATATATATGAAGAAGCCACTAATTCCGTAAAGGCCAAGACAGCTCAAAATTAAATATTCTCACTTCCAAGCATTATTAAGAACTTAATTCTCAAAACCAGGAAAATCATTTCTACCCTAGTAACAGCATAAGATCAAACATTAAATTAAGACACAGAACAAAAAGAAAATTAAACCACCTCAAATACTAAAAAGGGGCTATACGAACCATGTCCAGTTCCCAAAAGTATCTCTGGTGCTAAATAATCAGGTGTACCCACAGCTGAACGTTTTTTCCTCCTTTCCCTTTGATGTTCTGATGTCGATAACTGAGGTTCATCCTCCCCAAGGAGGGATGTCCCACTCACTGCTGGGCCAGACAAATCATCGGTGCTATTGATGAGACCAACTTTTGAAAGCCCAAAGTCTGTTAGCTGCATGACCCATCAAAAAATGACCTCTCATCAAGTTGGGAGCACAAATGCCAAAGCGTGAAATTTTTCAATAGAACCTCAAGTTTGCATGAATGTTTAAAGCCAAAGGCCATCAATGGTAACACAAGGGAAAAATTTCTCATTTCTGTTAACTCATTCCACTTATAGAGATTGACTAAGTACATTCAAAGTTCACTAATCCTTTTTCCCCTAGTCTATATTGTAACACCAAGGATGGAAGAAAGCTTTCATGATAAACTTCTTCAAGAAAATATATATTCTGTTTTCTTTGGGCCAACTGCTAGATGGAAAGCAAATATATCACATTATAGTATTCTTATCACAAAAATGTGTGCCTTATTGTAAGCCTATGGAACATTTTGACCAAAGAGAAGACAGAGTAAACGATTACTAAATTGTCTGCCTCTTAGAGGTGGTGCTACAACAGAATTTAGATATCTTAAACTGTCAAGATCATCCATTCTATAGTACTCAACAGGGGAACTTGGCATGATACCCATGCCACGTTGGGTCCTATCACTTAAACAAGAATGAAAAATCATAAAACTATTTTGCCAATAACGCAGGACTAATTGCAACAGTTCCAAGAGATAAAGAATCAAAGCATATCCTGTGATTACCTTAATGTGACCATCATGCGCAATCAACAAATTGTCAGGCTTCAAGTCACGATGAACTATACGCAGTGAATGCAAATATTCTAGTGCAAGCACCTACCATTAGAAAGAAAATTAAGCTTCAGAGGATAAGAAATAATATTGTTTTTCCATATTACCCATCACAAACAAAGGGAGGAGGGAGGAAGGGAGGGAGAACTGTGATTAATTACCACTTCTGCAATATATACACGAGCAACTTCCTCATCTAGGCAACCTAAATTCCTCAATAATGAATACAGATCCCCTCCATTAAGATACTCCATGACAAGGTACAGATTCTCACTACATGTAAAAGAATAGAAGAAACGAACCTGATACAGTTCATCCCAACGTTAGAAGGCAATTACCATTTCTGAAAGCAATATTAATTAATAAGCAAGCTAGACTTACCACAAAAGGATTGCGCACTGTGATTAAGATGTCACGTTCAGCTAATATACTTTCCACAGCATTCTTACGGATCATGTCTGCCTTCCTGAGAACCTGTTACAAGATAGCACAACGTGGTAAGACCAAACCATTAAGCTTAAACCAGGAAATATAAATAATTTCAAAACACAGCACGATTAAATGTGTTTCGCCAAATAAGAAATCAAAAAATAAAAACATTAAAGTCTTCATAAGTTCCTAGGCAATTATTTTCATCTTTCTAGATTAAGCCTTCCCATGTTTCTTTATGTTTATCAGAAATAAAGCAATTGCATTCAACATAGGAGAAATAAAGTTACCTACTGCTGAATTATGTGGTCTTTGAACAAAGCTTACAAGCTGTATTGTTGTTGTACTTATTGATCTTATAATCATGAAATCAGCGACTCTGAGAACCTATATCTTGTGAGTCTGTGTGTGCTCATCTGTGTTTCGCTGGACTAAATGTTTATAGTAAAATCCATTGACAAACAAAATAAAACTTCACAAGGGATAAGAGGAATAACATATATATAGTACCTTTATAGCAAAAAGATCCCCTGTTGTTCTCTTTTTAGCCAAGAAAACCCGTCCAAATGCCCCACGACTGATAGGTTTCATAATCTCAAAGTCATCAATAGTGGTACGGTCCTTTGAAGGGTGGATTGGACTTGTTCTCAGGCTACGAACCATATCATCTTCCAAAGGCACATCTTCTTCAATTACAGTGCTAGCTATGTCAATCTTCTCATCTTCAACCATCTCAGTAAGCTGCAAATACTTCTCCCTAGCAAACAGACAAAAAGAATTTTCACCAGAAGGTTGCATAAAACATATATGTTCACGAGTTAGAATACTGCAAGAAATACTATAGAAAAAAAAAAACCCAATAAAAATCTAACTAGGAATAGTAAAAAGAGATGTTGAGCAGATAAAAAACACAGAAATTGTTATATCAGTATAGACTATGGCATGAAGTTTCAGAACAAGGTCAATTTGTTACATGATGTGGTTGGGACTATATCATTTGGCACTTGATATCCAGTATCCATAATAAAAGTTACCCTAAATTTGATTCATTGAGAATCCATTACTGATTGTCCTAGTTTTTACTTTAGAGTAAGAATACTTCCTTTATGACAGAAATGTATGCTAGAAATTGTAGCACCAAAGTACCAACCGTATCAGCTTCTCAATACAAGTTCCAAAGGTCTCCACTGTGAGTGCATCAAATTTTCTCCTCTCTACAACAACCCTCAAATCATCAAGATAAGATAATAAATATGAGATTGAGCGATCATCATCCAGAGGTGTATTTGCTACACATCGTGCTATATCGGCAAGTTCATTCATCTACAATATGCCAAAAGGAAAAACAAAACGGAGCTTCACGCCATCAATAACAGACTTACACAGGAACTCATAGTTGAGTGCACTGGAATATCACACAAAGTTCTTTAAAGTGCATTCCAACAATTAGTACGGTAGTAAAATGGTGGCCCAGAAATTAAATTCCAAATGTAACAAAACTTTGCTAAGTCAAACTGTCAATGCACTAATTTGCATAAAAATTAATCAACATAGACATTTATAATGCATCTTAAGTGGATACTATTGTTCCTTAAGAGCATGCCCATAGAGCCTACTTAATCCCTCACTAGTCCCCTTTTCCCCAAGTTTATTTTTAAAATGCACTTAATTCGCCCCTTGGATTCTTCTCCTTCCTACTTCATCTTCAAGAAATCAGTAAATGCTCAAGAAAAGTAAGTTTAAACTCCATCTCCCCCAGTTTTAAAAGACATTTTTTGTTCCGCGAACACGATTAGAACTCATGTCATCCACAAAATTCTATAATGGAAGGATTTCTTGGAAAGAAATTGTTCAAGAACTCCTAGTCTTAGTCAGACAAGAAGTCACAAATCAACCAAATTAAAAAAAAAAAAAATTTCTGTGAAACAAAAAGGAAAATCTAAATTGCAGCAAAAGCTTGAATGTAATATTTGTCCAACATCGATATTTGTAAATGGGGAAGAATTTACCGTTTTGCAAATATGGGACATGCGTCTAATATATTAAAAGATCAGAACTTGCGTTAAAACTTAAAAGTAGTTTGTCAAACAACGCGCGTACTGTGTATAGTTAGAGATTAGTACACTCATTAGGTTGCTCATAACCGAACATAATAAGAGAACACATGGAGAAGAATGAATTATAGAATAAAAGGAAAACATGACTTGAATGTGAAAAACCACAATTTAGACAAAAAGACAAACTGAAAAAAACAGGCCGAAATAGACACACCTGTGGAATATCATCTTGTTCAGAATAAGCACCCCTCCCTGCCAAGAGCAAGTCAATATGACTCATCTTTGGTGTCAGTAAAGGTGACCTAGGAGTCATGCTCCCAGCAGATGATGCTGTCATTCCTTGGTCAGACTTCGGACCAAAACGAGTTTTACATGATATAAGAGGTAAGGCCTTTAGGTCATCCATAAAAGCCGAATTATCAGCTTCCGGGAAACAATCCAGCATATCCTCTGATCCTCTGCGAGACCAATCACTGAGTTTTGGCGAGATATCAGATTCTTCAGTTATGCTTGAATTTGATACTTTTGCAACATCAGGACTTCCAACTGCTTGTTGGATATCCTTCTGTGTGCATAATTCTATCATCTTCTCTAGTGTATCAGCAACTCGGATAAGACGCTCATTGACACTTAGACCCTTCTGATCGCATCTATCAGCAATAGCACAAATCCTTGAATGATCTTCCACATTGACAGTAGGGACTTGCTCCTCACATATACGACAGATTATAGAACTCTCCTCACTAATATTCTGCTGATCTCCCCAGTAGCCCCAAGAAACTTTTTGTTGGTTCTTAAGAGTATGTTCCTGGGAGTCATTGACAGGAATATGCTCTGACAGCTTGGCAGCAGATAGATCTACATCAGAATTTGATCTCCTATTTGAAATTTTTGAAGATTCAACTCTCCCATTGGTTTGGCCCTTCATCTGAGCTGCTTCCTTTGAACTTTTTGCTGGTGGAGATGGGAATTTCTTCCAAGAAGCCATCCGATCCCTACCTGAAGGAGACTCTAAGTGTTTTGAGCTATCATCATCAACAGGAAGTGAAAGCCTCTCAGGCTTTACATCTTTTTTCCAATCTAATATACGCTGCTCCTGACTATAAAATTTTTTGGCCAAGGGATTTGAGACTTTTGCGGTACTGGAACTTTTTGCATCCCTTCCCAAGCCAGGAGGAATACGTTTTTCAGCAGAATGCAAGACCCGAGATTGTCGAAGATTAAAAACATGTTCATCCTCAGCCAAACCACTTTCTTTGTGAAATTGCAATAATCTAGTACACCTCGTGAGAATGAAAAGCATACGGGTGTGAAGCTGCTTAAGCATCCCAGGAGGAAGTTCTTGACGTCGATCGTCCAAATCCTGAACTATGCCTTCACACTGAAGCCAAAACTCCCCAGGTGTAGTCATAGCACACCTCCTAGCCAAAACCAGTAAGTCCTCTATTGTCTCTTGCCACTCAGGATGAGAATCTGCATTTTTTTCAAGAACTCCAACGAGGTATGCCGCAAAAATAGCAAGTTCAGAGTTCACTTCTTCCTTTTCTTTATCAAATTTTGCCCGAATAGCAACCAAGACTCCCTGCATTAAAGAATAAAGGATTAACCAAAAAACACTATGCTTCCCAAAATACGAAGCACAACCTTCAACTAGCATGAAATGGAGACTCAATTACCTCCAAGTTATTTAACCCTCGAGGCTTCCAAAATGGATAGGGTCGGACACCTTTGGAATTCAACTCATGGGAAAAGCTCTTAATGTCACCAGGAAACCTCTTTCTGGGAGCACTTGTGACCCGTAATATAGCTTGGAAACGAGGAGATTCGGATTCTTTGGGGTTTTCAAAATCATATGAAGTCTAAATTTAAAAAAGAAAAAAGAAGAAAAAAAGAAGCACACATATTGAGCCATAATAATGGAACTTATAGGACATATCATCTAAAGCAGCCAAAAATAAGATGGACCAAGTAAATAATATGCATACGATTTATGTACCTCTGGAGTGCAAACATCGGCACTACTTATGGCTCCAGACTGAGATGGTGATGAATCCCGTCTACCTGTTTAAAAGTGATAAACAAAAAGCAACCTTTAGAGAAATTAAAGCATTCTTTACCAGTCACTGCAGTAAAAGAAATAGACAGCACCGCTCTTTAAATTAGACCATAGGTAATCCTGAGAAAATAAGAGTTATGATAAAATTTACATGTCAGCCACCCCAAAACTCCACCTTTGGACCAAAGCCTGAAAGCAGTAAAAAAAGCTTACAGGTTGCACAGGCATAAACACTCAGTTAACTGCAGGAATCAACAATCGATGATTGAAATAGCTCAATAAAGACAGATGCAGGGAAATGAAAATTGGATATATGGCTCTACACCCAGCCACTTGCATTGTATAAGCTGCAAACAGTACATTTGAAAAGGTTTTCGTAGGGCTGAAGTGTCCTTCCAAGACATATCTGTATGGCAGCAACTAGCCAAACCATTCGGTCTTGACAAGATTCACTTTAAAAATCAAGTCAAAACCTACTTTGTGACGCCTTCTCAAGTATTTCCATGATTGGGAATTTCACCATGGCAATACTACTTTAATTGCAAGTAACAATATACTTCATAAGGAAGATGATGAGTTAAGCCAAAACTGAATAAGAATGGGCTTGTCAACACCATACCTCATATGTTGTAAACAGTGCAATCCATACACAAGATTCACGTCTAATTGTATATTATAAGGGTGAAGAAGAATATTCTAGTAATGCTTGATGCTGGATGTTTTACTCACATGAAACCCCTCTCCTATTTACTTGTCAATTTGAATGTAAGAGTCCTATATTTATGTTTCATGCATACACCAGCAATAAACCTTAGGTATTTTTAGCATTATCTATACTTTCAAAGACAAACAGATAAGAAACTCCAGTCCCAATTTGTTTACACATCGTGAAAAAATGTACCCACTCAAGGACATTACTATTTTCACCGCTGTTCGCTACTATCAAGTGAAGTTGTCCCGAAGACTAACAGAAGTGCATATTAGCATGAAACAAACATAAAAGGTACCAATTTGAAGTGTGAGAAATGTATTAAAAAACCAAGCGGCCTTCACTTAATAACTTCCAAATTGAAATGTTCAGCAAAAGCAAGAGGGCGAATAACTGCCACAGGACAAGATGCAAACCTGCTGCGGAAGATGATTCCCCGTTCTGTAGCCGCGACCGCGCCGATACCTTAGGGCTTTGGTCCCAGAACGGAGCACTCCAAGTCGAAGTATTATCTGAATTAACGCCATTATCAATCCAAGTTCCGCTGCCTGAACTCTTCACTCTGTTCTGATTCACCAACTCCTTCTTTCCTTCATTTGCTGACCCTGAGCTACTACCACCAGGTCTAGAAAGGTTACTTGCACCAAGCGTGGGCCCCTTATCATTTCTAAACCCCAAAAAACTCTCCTGTGGCAACGGTCCTGATCTCGTCTTTATCCTGTTCAACCCAAGGGAGGATGCTAAAATTGGAGAAACCGAAGCCGATGGAGATTCTTTTCCGTCAACCGCCGTCGCCTTCTTTGACTTAGACTCCGAACTGGAATCCAATTCCGCCCCGGAGCTTGGCCTCATCGAAGTCAGACGAGACTCCACCCGAGTTTGACTCTCCTTGTCCATGGCATCCTTCTTGATCCCGTCCTTTACTTGCAATTTGCGACGCACGGCGGCGACACCACGCCCTCTGCCACCGCTGACAGCGCCGCTGCTGGTACTAGCGATCTGGGCTTCTTTGGCAGTTGATTTCACCTTCTTCTTCTCGGATCTGCTAGGTGAATTGGAGCCAAGTGATCGGGGGCTATTATTGGAGGACCCATCAGGGCTTGAAGAGTCGGATTTCTTGGAGGAGAAAAACCTTCCCTTGAAGACCATGGCGAGGGGCGTGATCGAGAAACACGCAGAAGAAGCTCACGAAATGGGTGCGGCCCTAACATAGGTGCGGGGCTACGGAGAGCGACATTGAAGATGAAAGTGAACCTGAAAATTGCGCCGGGACAAAGACTGTGTGAACTGAGAGAGAGCGAGAGAGAGAATCGGAAAAATGTCTGCTTTCAAAGTTCTGTATCGGGGACTCCAACAAACGGAAAAACATGAATGACTTCGAGAAAATGAGAGGACAATTTTATAACGGGGTTGAAAGTGGAAATAATATTGAACCTTCTGTGGAGGTTTTATTATTATAATGCAGACCTACCACACAAATATTTATTTCATTTTAAAGAGTCTTCCTTCTTGTAAAAACATTAGATATCGTTCCGTGGAATGTGGATTATTAACAGATTTTGATTTGAACGCTATAAGTGCCATCAATTAGCATTTATGAACAATATTTAGGACTAAGAATAATTCATCAACAATACATGTGACTATATAAATTTCATAGATATGGGAATAGTAGTATAATAAATACGTTACTAAAAATGTGAACAACCTTCCATGATGTCATGAAATATTAATAATTATTAATATTTATAATACCAATATCAATAATCAATATATACATAGTTCTTTTCTTACCAGAATAATATATGCTGATTGTTACTTAAAGTAGAAGCTATATTTTCATTTACAGAAATGTTTGAATGAAAACCAAACTATAATTTTAACAGTTATTTTAAAAGTGATTTTACAGTATTCGAAATAAATACATAGAGGAGTATATCTCGATTTAGAAAAAAGTATTTTTAAAAAAACACTTTTAATGATATCCAAACACTTCCTAAAATAAGAATCACGATAAGAAATTTTTTCTTAGTTATTTTGATTATAATTAAAATTAAAATATCTCTTTTAATTAGGAATTAAATAATACTAAAATTGTAAATGAATTATAATAGTCTATAATTATATAACTACTTTATTACCCACTAATAAGGGGTAGATTTTGGTTGGTATATCAATCTAGAGTTTTACCACAACACGCCGTGTCCCCCATCGCGTTTCATATTTTATGGATCAATATTGCATATAAGTTGGATCTTCTGTACCATCTTTTATTGTATCATGTAGTCATATCCTTTCTCGTGTCACTTTTTTCCTTCTCTAAATGTGGATTAATTTTGTCTAATTGCTCCTTTGTAAGACAGCTTAAATTTAGCATATAACATAAAAAATGCTGAGATATTTATATGTATATATTTAATCATCATATCAGCAAGTTTACAGAAAAAGGAAGGCATAAAAGCCAAAATGAACGTTGTGACAGAAGAAAAAGGAGATAGTGACACAAGCTTGAATTTAATTACTTCCTCTCATTCTTAGAATAAAATCTCAAGACCAAATAGAAGAAGAACCTGTAAAGAACACCCCAAGCGAGAAGGATGCCTATATCAAACCAAATCTTCTCTATCTGAATATCCATGGTGGCCAAAACATCTTCTCCGATCAAGCTTCCGATCGGGCAGTTTGACCTATCATGTCCTTCACTCGTCTTCAAATCTCCCAACGGCCCAGGAGATAAATCCGATAAGCTCCCAGTGTAGCAACGTTCATTCTTAAACTCATTAGTCAACAATGCTTCAAATGGATACTTTATCGCAGAAATATAATGAAGCCATTTCCAGTACATGGGAATCTGAGTTCTCTTGAGGAAGAAGCCACAGGTGAGGAAGAACAAAGCCGTCGTAGCTATCACCACTGCATAACCTGTAATATAACTGGGAACAAGGGCACTAACAAGCATAACGTAGGCATTGGTTGTGATCAGAGAAGCATAAAGAACCAACCAAAAATAAAGAAGACTGCTTTTCAGGTGAAGCATGAATTTGGTTATGAGAGCGAAAGTGAGGCCTTGGACTGCGAAAAATGGGAGATAGACAATAAGTGAAGAGATCACATACGAAGAAGCTCGATAAGCATTGTGGGAGGTTTCTCTTATGAAGATGAATCTCTCGAGGATGAACGACGGGACGGCGTCGTTGGAGGAGAAGAAGACGAGGCAAACTGAGAAAATGTAGAAGTTGAGAATCCTGTTAATGTCTTTGAAAGTGGGGTGGCTTAGGTTTTTGAAGATGGTGGAGAGGACGAGAGCCATTACAGTTAGAACAATCTCACGAGAAAGGAACAGTTCTGGAGTTCGAATCACGTTCAGAGCAGTTCGCCATGAAAGCACTGCAACCTCACGAAGCCATGGATTAGCGTACTTTGGTCCAACGTTTGGCTCATCAAGCACTTCAATGTCAAATTCCTCGTAGGAACTTACGTACGAGTCCAAGGCCATGGACTGACTAACCATAGATGGTGCTTTGGCATGATGATGAAAAGGCTCCTCGTATGATATCGAGTACTGGTTTAAAACAGTGCTTCTTGGTCCGGACATCGGAGTTCTCGCAGGTGTCGTCCAACCCGGTGTTCTCGCCGGAGTCCAAGATGGACGACGAGGGGTTCCTACCACACCATGGTAAAGCCAGACAGAAAAATCTTTAGCAGAGAAATCCTTATAAAACTGAGAAGCCAAACGAGGATAGACACCACTAATCATGGTATTAGCCGTAGGGGCATGAACACTTCTCCTTTCAAGAGAGTTATCAAAATCCTCATCATCATCGTCGTCTTCATCAAGATCACCATGGATGTTATAACTAAACTGTGCAGAATCTGCAGGCTGTGTTGTTCCAGCTTTGAAGCCCTGGCTTTTCAGGCTAATCATGTGCTTTGATGCTGGTGCATTATTGCTCTTTTTATAAATTTTTCTTGGTGTTTTGACAACTGGCATCTTGGCTGTTTGATCAGGTTTCAGGCCTTCACGATTGTACAGAACAAGTGGGTCGAGTCCCACGTTAGATTCATCAAATTCTTTGATCACATCTAAAAGATACTCTAAGCTGTTCTCTCCATCAGGTACTGGTCTTCCAAACCCAGAAAGATGAGCTGCAAGTGCACTTGGCTTTCCCATATATACCAATCTTCCCCTGTCACACACAAATATTGCTCATTCAAGTAACAATTTCTAAGCTAAACGACACTTGAAGAGATTCAACTTTAATGTTTTACCTTGCGAGGATGGTGAGTCGATCAAGGAGCATTTGAATTCTGTAGGAAGGCTGATGAATGGTCATGAGGACGATGCTGCCAGCTCGAGCAATGTCCTTAACCTTTTCGACGACACTAAAAGCACTAGTGGAATCAAGACCTGAGGTTGGTTCATCAAGAAACAGAAGTGATGGCTTATGGATTATGTCTATGCCAATGGATACCCTCCGTCGTTCTCCTCCTGACACTCCCCTCTTCCCCTCATCACCAATATATGTATGTGTTGTACTCTGCATAATCATTCAAAAACAATATATATATATATAGAAGCACTCAGTTTTTTCAACAAATTTAGCGACTTGTTCGAGATTCTGAATGTTAAATATTTGTATCGCATTAAACAACTGGCTTCTAAGTGTGATCATATAAGGTGGTGCTGGTGTTTGTGTCAGTGCTAATACTTCTTCTGGTGTGGGAAATTATGAAAGATGTGTAAATGGAATTGATTCCCTCTCTCTTTCTTGACATATACATCCTAGAGGAAAAGATCTTTGATTTCAGGGAAATACTGAAAAATATCAAATTGCCCCCAATGAACAGTTACGATGCATGGCCGTTTTCCTTTTTCAAACAAGTACTTTTATATGACATATCAGTTAAACCAGTATTATGCCACTTCTATTATTCCATCATTTAAACAAGTACTTTTTACATCCTCTTAAGTATCTTTCCATGCACCAAAGCTCACTTATGTGTCAGACTCTTTCAAACCTTACAAAACTATATATAACTAGAACTAACATCGCCAAATTTACAGAGAAGCTAATATTTGTACAGATCACTAGATCGCGGATTTGCTCATTACATTGACACCAAGTTTGCAAACGCATGTGAACCTCCTGAGGATTGTAGAAATTTACTTGGTTTGGGTTTGTGTTATGGACACTATGGCCCAGCTACGGGCCTTCTTAGTCCTTCTACTGGCTAATGCCTTTATTCCAGAAAAAAAATTAAAGAGAAAACATCAGATAGAGGATGCTTGCACTTTTTACTTTGGACGGAGGATACTTAAGAGAGTTTTAATATATACCTGCAAGCCAAGCTGATCAAGGAGCTCATAAACCCTCTTCTTCTTTTCCTCTCTGGAAATAGAAGGAGGAAGCCTGACCTCAGCTGCGAACATAAATGTCTCAAAAACAGTCAACATAGGAAACAGCTGATCATCTTGCATTACATAAGACGACACCATCTTCATGTAACTTGTTGTCACCTGACATGATCATCAACAACATCAACAAAACCTCGCATCTTCATCATTAATATATGAGCTAATTAATTAGTCAAATTAATTAGATATATATATTTAAAATATGTTTACTTACTGGTTTTCCGTCAATTCTGACAGATCCTTCCAAGCTTCCTTGTGCAATTCGACCAGCTAAAGCATCAAGAAACGTGGACTTACCTGCACCACTAGGCCCCATGATGGCCATGACTTCACCTCTCATGGCTTGCCCAGATATATCATGAAGAAGATAAGCCTCTTTCTTCACCCAAGTTCCATCTTTCTTCACCTTCTTCACCACACTATACGACAGATTATTGAACTCCAGGCCATGCCCAGGAATAGACTTCTGGGGTCTCAGTTGATTCTTCGTCGTCGTCTCAACCTTGTTCAAATCCAATAAACTCTCTAAGCTCTTGTTTTTTCCTGCTCTATCCAGCCTCACCATTATTGCAGAGATCGATATAATTTCTCACTGCTACTTCTCACACCAACTCATGCACTTCTCTTTTTCTTCTATATGGGGGCCTTAATTTTTTTGGTTCCCAAAGTGGGGTTCTGTTGTTAATTATATATTATTAAGTATATGTGAAAGGCATAAGTGGAAGAGGCAGAAGGTCAAGTGCGGACAAAAGGAATAAAGGTTACGTTGAAGGAGAAATAATTAGGGTTTGGAGAGGTTGAGGAAGACAATAAGAACAGATCAAACAATCCGTCGGACAACTATTATAAGAGGACAAAACCTTTGGGTTCGCCGTTAGGTTTGCTTTGGTGGTACCGA